TGGTGGGAGCTACCCAGAAAAGCTCTTAAACACAAGGCTGGAAAGATGAAGGGTGTGTCTGGATTCCAGCGACAGCCAGTTTAGTTCTTTTAACATGTCACAATGGTGGGTCCTGTAATTGCATTGTAGCACAAATCGGCAGAACGAGTTATACAATGTATTGGGTTTTATAAGGTGGGTTTTCTGTGCAGGTGCATATGCTACATCCCCATAATCAATGATTGGCATCAGCATTTGCTTTACAATCTTTTTCTTTACTGTAGGGCTTAGCAGGACCGCCATCAGGGCATGACAACCGCAACGGTTGTCATGGGCCCGGCGGTCCTGGGGGGCCCGGACTGCTCAGGTCGTCCGGGCCCCACATTCAGTGGGTACATACCGGGTCGCAGGGGGCCCTGCGACCCCGGTATGTACCCACAGGGCCAGCCTCTTCTCCTGGGGGGCCCAGCAGCCGGTCACCTCAAGGGCCCCCAGAGGCTGGCCCTGCAGACACCCGGCGCGCGGTCCGGCGCGCGAGGGAGCACTCTCTGTGTGCTTACTCTTCAGCTCCCTCGCGCACCGTACTGATGCCTGAGCCGGAAGATGACGTCATCTTCCGGCACCGGCATTAGTACGCGGCGCGCGAGGGAGCTGAAGAGGAAGCACACAGAGAGTGCTCCCTCGCGCGCTCGCCCGCCAGGTGTCGGGGGGGAGGAATGAAATGGGAAGGGGGGAAGGAGGAATGTGAAATGGGAGGGAGGAGGAGGAATGAAATGGGAGGGAGGGGGAGGAATGAAATGGGAGGGAATGAAATGGGGAGGAATGAAATGGGGAAGGAATATAAGAAATTTGAGGGAGGGAGAGGAAGGAAATTTGAGGAGGGAGGGAAGGAATGGGGAGGAATGAAATAGGAGGGAGGGAGAGAATGAAAATGGAGGGAGGAGGAATGAAAGGGGAGGGGTGTTAGGAAGAAGGAAATTTGTAGGAGGAGAGGAAGGAAATTTGAGGGAGGGAGAGGAAGGAAATTTGAGGGAGGGAGGGGGAGAGGAAGGAAATTTGAGGAAGGGAGAGAGGAAGGAAATTTGAGGACGGGGAGAGGAAGGAAATTTGAGGGACGGGGCAGAGGAAGGAAATTTGAGGGACGGGGAGAGGAAAATTTGAGGGACGGGGGGAGAGGAAGGAAATTTGAGTGACGGGGTAGAGGAAGGAAATTGGAGGGGAGAGGAAGGAAATTGGAGAGGGATGGGGAGAAGAAGGAAATTGGAGGGAGAGGGAGGAGGGGGAGAGACTGACATTCATCACACACAATGCACCCCTTGCACACAGAAAAACACACAATGCATTACACACAGACACACGTACACAAGCAATGCATCCCTTACACACAGCAACACACAATGTACCCCTTACACACACTCAATGCATCCCTTACAGACACACACTGCATCCCATACATACACAAACTCATCTTGCAGCCCTTACACATACAAACACAGATTCACACAATGCATTCCTTACACACATATCAGGACATCCCCTACACACTCCACCCCCTGTGAACAAACCCATTGGTGGAACATGAAGGTGGACCCTGGGACCCAGACCTTGAGCTGTGTAAAGGGCCCCCAAAAAATGGAGCTGCTTCCCGTTCTCCCAGAACATTGATTTTTGTGACCACAGTTACAAACCGCCTCCAGAGAGCCTGTTGTACACCAGACCAGTGGAGCCAGACGGCAGCCAGAGCCCATCATCATCCTCATCTGGTTGTAAGTAGGCAATCTAGTATACTATTCGTGGCACTAATCTCTAATTTACCTCACATTAAAGGGACACTATAGTCCCCAGAACCACTGCAGCTTAATGTAATGGTTCTGGTGTCTAGCCTGTCCCTGCAGGCCTTTTAATGTAAACACGGCGGAACTGCAGCACTGGTGTTAGTTAACATGGCAGATCATATGGGTGGGGCATTGTGATGTCACATGGGGGGCGGCAAACTTTACTTTTGCCTAGGACGGCAAAAATCCTTGCACTGGCCCTGCAGACACTGCATCCCTGTGGGCGGATTCGGGGGGGGGAGGGGGCAGCACTTTGGGCAGACTCGGGTGCAGGCACCGGGGGGCCCAGACCTTGAGCTGTCAAGGGCCCCAACATTTCTGATGGCAGCCCTGGCTGTGCATATGCCCGGGGTTGCTTATGTTACAGTGGATGCTCTTTCTCGTTTTCAGTGGTGGGAATTCAGGGCGGCGCCCAGGCAAGAGAGGTGGGCTTTCCCTGCTCAGCGGACCTGTGGGGCCTTGGGCTGACTGTATAATGTCTTGGATCCGGGGTTCGGTCTCGGAGTCTACTTAGCCGCATTATGATAATATGGCATGGAGCGAGTGGGTTGAATTTGAGAGGCAGCTCAGTGGATTTTGGTCTGATGGTGAGCGGGTGCAAGATTTGTTACAGATCATTTGGTTCTGGGAAGCTTTGCGCTGTTCCTCCTCGGCGGTGTCTGGTAAGTTGTCTGGGCTGAGCTTTTGCTTTAAGCTCACCAGGGTGTCGGACATCACTAAGGATGTTCTAGTTTCATTGGTTATGAGGGGTTGGCGTAAGGGGCCCAAGCTTTTGGATTCTCGGAGGCCCGTATCATGTGCTCTTATGGTGGACTTGTTCACTGTTCTGCCGCAGGTTTGTTTCTCCCTATTCGAAGTGGTATTGTTTCGGTTAGCATTCTCCTTTGCCTTTTTGGGGCCATGTGGGTGGGCGAGCTTGTGAGCCCATCCAAAACGGTCCCTGGGGGTTTGTTATTTGGGGATGTCTGTGGCGAAGCGGATCCAGTGAGGTTTTTGATTCGCAAGTCCAAGACGGACGTCCTTGAACGGAGTACTTGTGTCATGTTACCCAGGACATACTTGAAAACGAGAGAAATCTCAATGTATCTTTCCTGGTAAAATATTTTATAAATAAATGTTACGAAGACTACCTGGCTCTATGGTCATGCCCAGTGGGCATGGGTCCTTTGTTGGTTCACGGGGATGCCAGGTTCCAGTTTTTCGCATGGCTTTGGAGGTTTTGAGGCTGCCTAGTGCAAAGTTTAGGGGACACTGCTTTCAGATAGGGGCGGCCACTGAGGCATCTCGTCTGGGGTTGGCTGAGGAAGTTATCCAGAGGATTGGGAGATGGGAATCTGTGAGGTTCCGATCGTATGTTAGTCCAGCTGGACTGATTCCGTTTCCCCTTTTGTCGCTCTAAGCGCTGGACAGCGAATACAGGTCATCGGCCATTCTTATATCCATTAGGCACAACAGTGGGCTGAAGTTCGTCCCGGGGGACTACAACTGGGTGGTAGAAGTCCGTTGGTTCGGTACCCGGGGGATGCGTTGGGAATGCCTGTTGCCTGAATTGGTCTGTTTGTCCAGACTACTTGGTGTTCCCGATATAATTCTGATACATGCTGGGAGAAACGACCTTGGCACTATTCCGTAGTGGGATCCAGGGGAGATGATCCAGAAGGATTTGGCTGAGCTATCGCTCAGATTCCCGAAGGTGTATCTTATGTGATCCAAGGTGCTATCTCAGAACTATTGGATGGGGGCAAGAGACCCCAGGGCTCTTGAACTGAGCAGGATTAAACTAAATAAGCGTGTTTCAAGGTTTGGGGGGCTCACGGTGCGTCACCACATCTTTGAGCGTAATGCAGCGATTTATTTTAGGAGTGATGGGGTCCACCTGACAGAGATAGGACTGGATTTATTTATTTAATTTGGCATTGCAGGATGCATTAGAGGAGGCCATGGCTTTGGTATTGGGGCAGCACCCCTGATTTAGGGGAAAAACCAGCGGGTCTTTTGGTGGTATATGGCCCTTATCCACCAGGAGTTGGACCAGCGGTCCATGGAAAATGGATGGGTAGGGCTGTCCCTCCCCTAACCTCAGCTACAGTTATGGATAACAGATGTGCCCACTGCACCAATAAGCGGCTCAGTGGGCATTACAAAATGGAAGGCCCAAGAAAAGGCCTTGTGCTGGTTGTAACGAGGGGGCACCTGCCCTAAGTTATGTTTGGTTTGCAAGGTGGTTATCAGTGACATATCTATTTACTGAGTAATTACGTATATAGTGTTTTATGTTATAAAGTTGAAGTTTAAAGATTTATATATTTATATTTTAATAAAGCTGTGGCCTATTTTAATCCAAAGCAAGTCTGCTGTGGTTCATTTTGGGAAATAAGAGATTGGGTTTATCAATGGTGAAGGTTTATGCCCATACACATTTACCCTCTATCTACGCACATGTGCCTTGGCCAAACTCGGTGCAACTTCTCAACTCAATGAATCTGGAGAGTGTGAGCCTAGGGAGCTTACTCATTAAGAAGAACATAAAGGCACCAGAACCACTACAGCTTACTGCAGGCTGAGCAGTGTAAATGTTGCCATTTTTGAGAAAAGACATTGTTTACATTGATGCCTAAATCCACCTCTAGTGGATGGAGGCTCAGGAGACAATGTATTTAAAGGCAGATTTACTGTGAATACAATTTGCATCTATTTTTCAGCTTGTTGGCAATGATAGATGTTACTGTTGTGCATTAAACCAATTCCCCATTGACTTTTACAAGAATGTGCCACACGTAGTATGAGAGATTCCCATCTTTGCACAGCTGTACGCATAATATATAAAGACTTTCTCTTTCTATCTCAACAGAAACAAAATGCATTATTAAATAATACATATTTTCAAAAAAACAAAAACAAATAAAGAAGTTAAATTACATATAAAAGATACTAAATAAACTCAATTTATCATTATTTGCTTTCACTTGTTTGGTAATATTTTTCTATAATTAGCAGTAAAAGAAACACTATAGTGTTAGGAATATAAACTTGTATTCTCAATGCTAGGGTGTCCATGTCCCTGGTTCTATAAAGGTCCACCCACCCCCACTGTTCACCATGAACATAATTTTAAAAAGTATTACAGAAGATAGATGCCACTAGAGATGGAACCTTGAAGAGTAAATATTTCCTTTTCTAAAAAAAAACTGCAATGTGGGGCGCGGCCTGCACGCTGAAGCAGATGGTCGCATGGCACTAGCGCTCCGCTCTGAGATTAGCCCACGAAGCGAATAAACACAGCAACCCTCGAGATAAAACCCGCCATCACCCGCCCCACAAGCATGGCACAGCAGAAGGGTAAGAAAATCCCTGAAAGGGCCGACAAATCAGGCTTCTTCACAGCGCGATCCGCGCCAAACAGAGCCCAGGGCCAGCATGATGTGGACCAAGATGGCGGCGGAGACGACACCCTTCCTCTCCAGAACTCACCAGACCCTGGGAATCTCCCCTTCACACAAGAGATCCTGAGAGCATGCCTGGACAAAATGTCCGACAAACTGCTCAATAAGATCCAAGCATCGGTCACTGCACTGGGCAAAGACATCCAGGAGTTGGGTGAAAGAACAGCACACGTGGAGAACCGCATGGGCGAATATGAAGAAGCCCACAATGACCTAGCGGACCATGTTCAAGCCCTGGAAAAGCAGCTTACCTCAGCCCAGCTCAAGCTCTCTGATCTGGAAGACAGGTCATGGAGGCAAAACCTGAGAATACGGGGAATACGGGAATCGGTAATGCAAGCTGACATACCCGAATTCCTGACGGGGTTCTTCAAATGTCGCATACCAGACATGCCGACGGAAATGATCCTTCTGGACCGGGCTTACCGAGTAGCCAAACTGAAGTTTCTACCCGCAGAGGCAGCAAGAGACACGCTGACCCACCTACACTAATACCATGTCAAAGAGGCCATACTTAAAGCTGCCAGGAACCGTACAAACCTTCCAGAAAAATATGGCCAGCTACAGATATATGCTGACCTATCAGCAGCCACCTTACAACGGCGAAGAGAGTTCAAGGAGACAACAGAAACGCTGCGGGAACACAAGATCCCATATAGATGGGGGCACCCGGTGCGCCTGATTATTCAACGCAATGGTACCTCCACCCATGTGTCAACACCAGAGGAAGGACTGAAGGCCCTGAAGTAATGGGACTTACCAGTCCGCAAACAACATGGACGTACAACTTCGCCGCAGCGTCTAAGACAAGACTGGAAGAAGGCGAAAAAATAACCCGAGTTCCACCAGCCTATAGACAGATATGGGTGTTACAGATTCAGGACTGAATGGCGATGCCTCTTGATTGAAGACTTACCTATCTGGTATCATTACACAACCCCCCACACCATACAACACATCTCCTACACAACTCACACTCACATTTGCAAAAAAAAAAAAAAAAAGCACACATAGTTACACTTAGACAAGCCCAGCAAATGGACAGTTGCTCACATGCACGACACCCACCATATGCTCCTTTTAACGCCATTTGAACTGTAATAAGGTCAGTGTCACAGGAGGCCACCCATCCCCCAGTTACCCAAGGGAGGATTGGGGATACACAGATTAAATGGTCTCTCAAATCTAACATCTGTCTGTGGCCGGGACATAGGCATGTGGGACAAAAATAAATAAATGTATATATATATATATCATATGCAGAACTGTATAGACAAGTTTTAGGGCTAATCGTCTACGATATTTGTTTATGTTTTTGATGTTGCCTACCACCATGGTGCCCACTCAGGGTACTCAGCCCAATTTGGGCTCTTTGGTCCTAACCACACTGTTTCTTCTTCTTTTTTCCTGTATTAACTTCCTACCCTCCCTCTCTTACCCAGACCAACCTAGACCCTCCGAGGAGATGACCCTAAGTAAACTTCGAGCTCCAGCGCTGACACAGAAGTCTCGAGGAACGACTCGACCCGCCACGGATACATACCACGCGGAACCGCCATGGCAGCTACTCAGCAATACAGCAAGTATATACTCCACTGCACCATTATTTACACGCATCACACTAGACTCAAACTCCGAGACATACAAGGACACTCAGGGGAAACACAAACCTAACGCTGATAGCGGCACAGGTAGCATTCCTTATAGACCTTCCCTTTATGAAAATATATAGTCACAACGTAAGGGGGCTGAACACCCCTGTTAAACGCCACCTTCTACTACAAGACCTTCGAAAATCCCAACCAGACATAGTATGTCTCCAGGAGACGCACTTCACCAAACAATACATCCTTAAACCCCTCGCATACCCATATCAACAACACGCCACAGCAAAATCCAAAACGAAAGGGGTCTTTGTGCTAGTCAGCAACTGAGTAGCATTCACAGAACATGACCTAGTCATAGACGAGGAAGGCCGGTATATCATACTGGTATGTACCATCAATGATATTACCTACACCATAGTAAATGTATACACACCTAACTCAGAACAACGCAACTTCTTACATAGAACATTAGCTAAAATAGCGCCTATTCAGAAGGGGATGCTAATAATCTGTGGAGATTTTAACCACACTTTAGACTCATCCAAAGGTTCTAAAAGGCAGGGAAACAACCCAGCCAGGAGACAATGCACAACATACCAGAGACTTCTAGATGAACATAACCTCTATGACGCGTGGAGAGTTCTCCCCCCCGGGGAGAGAGATTTCACGTTCTTCTCCTCGGTTCACAACTCCTACACACGAATAGACAGGTTCCTCACTGAAGGAAAACACCTAACGCAGGTACTCAAATGATCAATACAGACTATCACGTGGTCAGACCACGCACCTATCACTATGGAACTAAAGGACAAATTTGAGAGTGACAACAGAAGCCCCTGACGGCGGAATGAAACACTCTTACACAGCAAAACGTTCACAGACCACATAGAAAACATACTTAAAAACTACTTTAAAGAAAACACCACACCAGAGATCTCGTGGAGATCACCTGGCTAGCCCACAAACCCGTCATACGCGGGGAACTGATAAAAAGAGCACACTACCTTAAACGGACGTCCCATGCACAAAGGGTCACCTTCTGCAAACAACTGCACGATCTCAACAAACTAAACCAAACAAACCCATCCCCAGAGCTAAAAAGCCGAATCTCAGAAACACAGGACAAAATACAGGCTTTATCACTTACAAGAGTTGGCTACTCATTACGTAAATTAAAAGCTACTCACTATTCCCAGGGAAACAGAGCGGGCAAAATACTAGCCCAAAGACTTCGAGACAGACAGGCCGCGTCTAAAATAGCACACATACAGGCTCCAAACGGAAATAGACTGGTTGCCCCGAAAGATATCAGTGACGAATTTGCCACGTACTACGAAACCTTATACAACCTTAAAAATGATCCACTAACACCCCTAACACCACCCACACAAATTGATGACTACTTACAAGATGCCCAATTGCCAACCCTCTCACAACAGCACAGAGAAGCTCTCTCAGCGCCTATCACCCAACAAGAAGTAAAGGACACAATAAAAACCCTCCCAGCGGGTAAGGCACCGGGCCCCAACGGATTTGCAAACACGTACTACCATAAATACGCAGACGTCCTAGCCCCTGCACTGACCACTCTATTTAACAACGCTATAGACAACCACTCGCTACCCACAGAACTCTTACGAGCTCATCACCACCCTACCCAAACCAGGGAAGTCCCCGACCACATGCCCAAATTTCCGACCGATCTCCCTACTCAATACGGATGCCAAGCTCTTCGCAAAACTACAAGCCAATAGACTAAAAACTATCCTACCAGACCTCGAACACGACGACTAAGTAGGATTTTTGAGGGGTAGGCAGGGCTCAGATAATACCCGCAAAGTACTAAATCTCATGCATAGCTCTGGAAAACGCGGAGAAGGCCTTTGATAGACTCAACTGGACCTTTTTAAACAGAGTACTCCACAGATTCCGCTTCCCCACGCAATTCATGGCAGCAGTAGACGCCTTTTATAACAAACCCTCTGCACAAGCCCTATACGCAGGATTCCCATCACGGACCATAAACATCTCTAATGGCTCCAGACAGGGATGCCCCCTCTCCCCTCTGCTTTATGTACTGGCCCTAGAACCACTAGCATCCAAAATTAGATCAGACCCAAACATTCATGGTATTCCCATAGGCGACAAAGAATTCAAACTAAACATATTTGCAGATGACATTCTTCTCACCTTAACTCAGCCGCTTATAACCATGCCCAACTTAATGCGACAAATAGATCTCTTTGGCCACCACTCTTATTATAAATTAAATGTCTCCAAAACACAGGCATTAATGATAGAAGTGACTAAAGAGGCGAGAAACAGATTGTAGGAGGCTTTCCCCTTAGACTGGAGGTCAGACTACTTAACATACCTAGGACTCAAAATCACAAAAACACATGCAGAACTCTTCCACGCAAACTATGTAAAACTCCTAAAAGACTTTGACAACACCCTGAAATCATGGGAGGGGAAATTCCTCTCATGGTTGGGGCGTATAGCAGCATTCAAAATGTCGTTGCTCCCAAAACTATTATACCTCTTCAGGACACTACAAATACCTCTACCAAACACCTACCTCAAGTCGGTCACCTCACTACTCATGAAATTTACATGGCAACACAAAAAGAGCCGGGTAGCCGCTAAGATCCTGCAGAGATGGGTAGCAGACGGAGGCCTAGGTATACCAAACCTGTATCATTACCACAAGGCAGCGATACTAAGCACTATGTTAGCAGCTCAAGACTCCCACTACATCCCACAATGGGCAGGAATAGAAGCCTTTTGGCTTAACATAGACCACATCCGCCCTATCTTCTGGACGGACAGTACTCGGAGACCAAAACCATTCCAAGGCCTCCCCACTACTCGGTTGCTGATAGACACATGGGACGGGGTGAGGAAAACTTTAGTTACCCACCCAAAGATACCGATGGCAGCACCACTGCAATCCATAAGCCTGACGATTCCCACCTTTAACCATAAGCCGTGGACGGACAAAGGCGTCACCCACGTACTCCACCTACACAAAGGGGAACACCTCAAATCCTTTACAAGTCTACAGGAACAATTTGACCTACCCACAAAATTACTATTCCCCTACCTCCAAGTCAAATCCCTACTAACAAACAACCCAACCACAAACACCAACATCTAAGTTCGAAAATATTTGCCTATCAAATAAGCCCAACGTCAAATCTCTCTCCACGTGCTGCCACTTGATCATACACAATCAACCACTGACACAGGAATACTACCAAAAGGCATGGCACACAGATCTATGGAACGGAGTTAAGCCCAGAGACAGAAGACACTTGCTGGTAATCCGTTCTTAAGTACGCAGGAATTATTACCAAATCACCTGAAATACCCAGGGTCATCCCTCTACTCCCCACAGAGGCCCCCCTTCCCAACCAACCCCCCTCTCTTCTTCTCTCTCCCTATCTATACCCCCCTCTAACTCTATTCTCCCCACAAAATGTTTGAGACATGTAGTATGCATGATTTATGTACCTAACGTCATTAAGCAGCACTGAAATGCCTACTCTAATTGTAACCGAAACATTCTATCATATATACAATCGCAACTAAGGTATCCAAAATACACGCCCAATTGTAATGCAACTACGTGTCTGAATAAAACTTGCCAAATTAAAAAAACAAACAAAAAAAACTGCAATGTATTATATTGTTGGGTTAAAAGACAGAACCATTGCACCCATTGGACCACTTTATTGAAATGAAGTCTGGGTGACTTTTGTGTCCTTTTAGAGGGACATTATGGTGTCAGGAATACAAACATATTTAGATATTTGGGGTAAACAATCTTTGTATCTCAAAGCACACTGGTTTTGCTGTTGTCGTCTACCTCCTCAACTGAGATCATCAATGTTGGTGATCTCAGCCAATCCAATTTTTCCCATAGGGAATACTCTATATCAGCAGTATTTGATTGAAGAAGCGAATCTAGTGGCTGTCAGGAAAATAGCCACTCACGGTGTGTTAACCATGTCATGAAAGCATTGTCATATCTACAAATCAGCAATGTTTTTACGCAAGATTAAAAGGACAATACACTTAAATTAAGTGGTCTGGGTGCCTACAGTGGTTCTTCGAAGAACATTCTATCTGCCCCTAAGTGGGGAAAAACAGACAAAATTCCTTGTCTCTGGAGAAATGTGTCATGGAGTCACCAGGGCTTGTGTCTACTGTCCCAGAAATTAGACTTTACCAATTCTTCATTCTGAAGGAGATCCCAGAATACAGTCATTCCTTGCACA